ACATCTTGTACTAAATGAAAAGGTTACAAAATGCTCTTCCACACTCCTCTTCTAAAACCTTTCTCCCTACAGTTATTCCCCATCAGCAGTTTGGTTCATATCCTCCCAGATTTTTCTGTGTCTATGCACAAAGATAAAGACAAAGATATGCATAATCTATAGCTTTACAAAAGCAGTATTATGTCTTAAATACCATCCACAGCATGTGTGTTTTTAGCTTAGTGTGTTGAGGCAGTCTTTCTGTATTACTGTATACGTAGATCTACGTGATTCTTAAATAGTTGCACAATGTTCTACTGTGGGATGTGTCATTTTGTAAACTGGTCCCCCACTGATGGGCAGTTAATTCCAGCATTTCATTGGTGTAAACGATACTGTGAGGAACCTTTTTATACATATCTTTGTGTACTTTTGTGACTATTTGTGTAAAGTGAATTAGTAGGAGTGGAATATCTTGGTCTGAAGTTAAGATAGTTAATCAGTTAGCAGTTTGTTGGGGGTGGGGGAGCAGAGAGACCAGTTAGGCGGCTGTTAAAATAGTTTAGACTTTGAAGGTGGTTGGATGTGAAAAGGGATACGAAGGGAGAGATATAAGAGATGTTAAGGGCAAAGACTTTATATGATTTGGCATTGATGGGAGAGAGGCCCTGGGGGTTCTGCGTCCAGGTGACTGGGAAGGTTGAGGACACAAGTCAAAGGAGGTGACTGGGGAAAGTGGGGCCGGGGTGGGTGTGGTTTTGGCCAGCTCGCATCCAAGGAGCCTGCTCATTCATCATCAGGTGGTGCTCTCCGCAGTGCTGTTCGAAGTGTTGCTCTTGACAGGGGCTACTGAGTGAAGCATAGGATTCCCCTAGGGTGGTCCTCATGTTGCTGGAAGGGAATGAAATCAGCAAGGGAGAGGATCTAGAGGAGAGAGAGAATCCAAAGAATAGAATGGTGAGGTCCTAACATACAGGGATGGTGGTCGTGGTCATAGACAGGAGGAAACTTGCTAGAATTCACGATCACAGAGGCCAGAGGAGGAGGGATCTGAAGTAACTATTGTTCAAAGGATGAACTAATCAGTAGCCTGTGTTAGTGCCCCTCCCTCTGGCTCCCCAATGGGTGTTATCATTACATCTTGTACTTGCTCTTCAAAGCACTTAACACACTTGTGATTAATCCATGTGATCATCTGTTGGGTGTCTGTCTCCCTCTCTGCACTATGAGCTCCGTGGAGGCAGGGACTCTCACTCTAGGTCCCCAGCATCAAGCATGGTGCTTGGCACACAGTGGTGTTGGTTCTCTAAGCGTTTGCTGCCTCCTGCAGGACTCCAGCTGTCCACACACCCTCTCTCTCCCTTAAACCCACACACAATACTCTGCACAGTTGGGGAGAAAGAGGGACTTAGGTCCCTGCAGGAGAAAAGCTGTACATTTTGAGTTCTGGGTGTAGCAAGTGTGAGTGGGTGGCCAAAAATGGGTCATTCGAATTCCGTTTATTGTATATCACAGTGGCCAGCCACAGTTGGTACCCAGAGTTTACAGGACTCCACTCCAGGCCTCGGCAGTGGAGCATTCTGATAATCTGGGATGATGAAGCCTCTCTTATTGGTGGAGACCAAACTCGGAAGTGCGTTTAATATCTTCACTCAGCGTATGTTTCTTGATTGAATGAAAATGCCACAGTTCAGGCGTTAGGGGCTGAGATAAGGCCCTTGTATGAGGTCGGAGCCATCATTAGACCAGTTCAGCAAGCCGTATGAACAGAGTGGTGGAGTGGAAGCCGCACTGTAGGAGACGGGAGTGCGTGGTCGGTGACACAGGTGGAGAGGCTGTTCTCTGAAGAAATGTGTTGGTTGAAGGAGGTGGTGGAAGAAGCGAAGCCTTGAACAGACTTGCAGGAGGAGTAGAAAGAGCCAGAAGATGGAGGGGTGGCAGATTCAAGGTCCAGAGAGGACAAGGGGTGGGAGGAGTTTTCAGTGAGGGTGGGAGGAGGTGGGATGGGGAGAAGAGATGGCAGTTCAGCCTTGGCAAGGAGGTCACCCCTCCCTCTCAGAGAGGAGAGGAGGGGCGAGGGGCAGGTTGGAAGGTCTGAGGATGGTGAAATTTGGAACTGAGAAAGAGCAAGTCAGAGAAAACACATCTTTTTGGCCAAGCAGGAGAAAGGTCATCTGTGGGGATGGATGGGGCTGTGGGGTGGGGAGTGGGAAAGCACTGGGACAGTCACTTTGGGGACTGACTGCGTGAGCAAGAGATGGCCAATGGATGGGTTAGATGGTGGACCTTGTAGTGGTTGGGTACATCTGTGGTTCCAGATTGGGGACTCACGAGGTGGGGAAGGTGACATGTTGGGGGATATGCAAGACAGTAGGCTTGGGCAGATTTGGGGAGTGCTGGGAGGTCTCTCTCTGCAACAGCTGTGGCCGCTTTTGTTTGGCACCTACTTTATGCCAGGCTCTGTGGTAAATGTTCTTCCATTTAACCTTCTCAGCAGCTCCATGGGGTAGATGCTGCCCAAGGTCATCTTGCCCGTGACTGCCTGGGCCGTTGATTGCAAAGCCAGGCTCACCTGTGTGGTGACTCACGCCTATCCAGGAGCCCAAATAGGGTTCTGGATGTGGGACGATTTGGGGCTTCACAAATGTGAAGCCCACCTCTCCAAACCTCCTCCTCAGCCCCCATGGGGCCCGAGCTGTTGTCATGTTCTGGCCCTGCCCTTTGCCAGGAGAATTGTGTCAGACCCTGGTCGGCGGGGCTGAGCCGGTGTGAGGCTCCAGAACAGGGCTCAGTGGGGAGCTAGAAATCCCAGGCAGGGATCTGGCGTTTGTCCCTGGACATAAGACTGTGCTTGTGAGTATGTGTGAGTGGAGGAGGGACCTCTCTGTGCCTGTGAGTCTGTTTCTGAGTGAGCACGTGTTTCAGAACCTTTCTCTGTGCCTCTGTAGCACTATACACAGAGAAACAGAAATACTGGGGAGGCGATGCTGCAGAAACAAATTAGTGAAAGAACAAATGGTGGAATGAAGGGAACACAGACAGAGGGACACACACGTTGCCCCATGTGTTCAGAAACTCAGGGTGGCACACATAGAAATGCAGTGTCAGTTTTTCCATGTGCTTTCTTGAGTGGGTTGGCGTATACCTTGGATATGGATATGTGTCTGTGTGTGTGACTGGCCTCAGAAACACAGCATGAAAAGTCTGTAGAGACCCATGGAAACACAAATGTGGATGCTCAGACATATATAAGCACACTGTGTCTTTGCACATATATTCCTGTGTGTGTTACTGTGTGTTTTTCTGAGTATATGGGCACCTGTATCTGAATAACACAGGTACATGTGGGAGACAAATGTGAGTGCACACTCTGGAAACACGCAGAGTGTCTATATCTGTGTGTCTGTGTCCTAAAGTCAGGAGGAAGGGGACACCATCATTGAGCTGGGAGGAGGGAGGCTGGGAGAAGGCCAGTGGCAGGCATTCTGGCCTTGCTTTGTCTCCTGGCATGGAGACCTAGCTCTTCTTTTCTTTTGTCACGCAGGATGATGGGGTTTGGGTCGTGGTGCTTTCCCCCAGGGGGTCAGCAAGCACTGGGGAAGTGCCTGAGGTATGCCAGCTCATCCCAGACCTTGTGGGGAAGATCCCACTAAAGATCCACCTTGCCTCTAGCAAAGCCTCAGTCCCTACAGGGTGGCGACAGGTGGAAAGCTTACCGTGATCACCAGGCTGTGGAGCACAGAACAAAGAGACCCTCCTGGCGTCAGATCCTGGCTCCTGCCCTTTCTGGTTCTTGCCCTTTCTGGCTCTTCAGATGTGAACAAGTCACTTAGCCTCTGTACCTCATGTCCCTGGTATTGAAGCAGGGAGAGCAGAAGCATCCACTTAATGGGTGCTGGGGAGAATTAAGACCACTCTCAGGGTAGACCCTCCTTCATCCAGCTGGTGTTAATTGAACACCTACTATGGCCGGACCTGTTCTAGCTCAGGTGTTTCAACAGTGAACAAAACAAAGCTCTCTGCCTTACCAAGTTTGCCTTCTTTGTGGAGAAAGCTGGTCAATAAACCAAGAATGCACCCTGTGTCCGGGGTGGTAAGTTAGGAAGAAAGGCACAGCAGGGTGATAGGGCTGACGGGGGCAGGGGTGTGAGCTCCAGGGAGTGGCCAGGGAAGGTCTTGAATAGGATGATATTGGATCACAGAGAGGAAACGATGCATTGAGCTGCTGCAGGGGAGGGGTTGCCCAAGGGGAGGGAATAGCAAGGGCAGAAGGCTGTTTGTCTTCATGAAAACCCTGTTGTTTTCCCATTTCACAGTTGGGAAAATGGAGGCACAGAGAGGTTGAATAATTTGCCCGAAGTCTCACAGCCAATGAGAAAGAAATCTAGGATTTGAACCTGGACAGCCTGGTTCCAGAGCCAGTGATCTTAATTGGTGGTGCTCAATCGGGGGTGACTTTTACCCCCCAGGGGATATTTGGCAATGTCTTGGCGCATATTTGATTGCTACACTGGATTGGAGGGTGCTACTCGCATTTACTGGGTAGAGGCCAGGATAACCATGAGACTTTTACAATGCACAGGACACCCCTGACATCAAAACAGTATCCCACCCAAATTGCCAGTCATGCTGGAATTGAGAAACCCTGCAAAGCACATGACAAGGGTGTGACATATAGCAGGTGCTCAATAAATAATAGCTGGAGAGGAGCAGGAGAGAGGATTTGGAGAAGGCTACAGGGGAGACGTGAGTTCTAATTCAAAGGGGAGAGACAGTCCACGTAAATGAACCCATTAGTTAAGAGAGCACATGTGCTACTGTTTTTTGGGTGGGTATGAATGGCAGACTGCCCAGGGAGGGTGGCTGCAGGTGAAGCTGGTGGTAGGAGGAGGTTGATGGATTGGGGATGGGGGCCAAAGCTGGGCAGCAACCAGCCACTGAAATGCTAACCAGCTGTCTTGCCTCTCTGTCTCCTCCCACCCTGTGTCTCTCTCCCTATCTCTCTCGGCCTCTCTGCCAAGAAGGAGACAGCCGGAGGCTGAAGGGGGCCATTCAGAGGAGCACGGAGACGGGCCTGGCGGTGGAGATGCCCAGCCGGACTCTGCGCCAGACCAGCCATGAGTCCATCGAGGACAGCATGAACAGCTATGGCTCGGAGGGCAAGTGAGTGTGGAGCCTGGCCTGCCCACGGGCCTCCTGGCTCTCGGTCTTCCCTGGCGCAGGGCCAGAGGACCTCAGACTTTGAGGGGCATTGGCTGAGGGTTCCCGGGCTGTCCCATCTCAGAAAGGAAGTGATGAAGCAAGGAAGCTCTGAGGAAGGGCAAGGAGACCCAGACTCTGGAGCCTGATTCCCTAGATTTGAATCCTGGCTCCACCACTCACTGGCTGTGTGACCTTAGTCAGTTCATCTCCCTATGTCTCAGGTTCATCTGTAAAATGAGGATAAATACCTCAAAGGGGTGTTAGGAAGACTAAGTGGGTTTATTTTTATAAAAAGCATAAGACAGTGCTCAGCCTTTACCTCGCCTCCCCTCCTCATTTTGGGCCCTGCCTTGCAGCTGGGGGCTTCTGCTGGCTGAAAGCCTTCCCACCCCCGGCCCCTCCTAAACTGGGGATCTGTGGCCTCTGTGAATGGCCTTGCCTTGGCAGGTTACTGCCGTACCACCCACCTCCTAGGGAGGCTTTTCGGAGGGCGAGAAGAGGAGGACTGCGGAAGGGAGAGGAGGGGGGGGACCACGACGGGAACAAATGTTTTCTTTAACCTGAGAAACTTGGCAAGGCAGCAAAACTTGGAGGGAGGTATTCTGGGCATCTGGGTAGTAGTGGGTCCCTGCTGAGTTTCAGGGGGTCAGGAGGTTTGAGTCCTAGTCCTGGCTCTGCCACTGACCGCAAGTGGCCTTGGGCATGTTCTTGGCCTGTCTAAGCATCGGGTGGCCAGCAAACATCTCGTCTGTTGGCTTCCAGGCGGGTCAGAGGACCAGGTCACAGGAGGGTGCTGTGGTGCCCTGAGCAGCGGTAGGAAGTCAAACCCATATTCCCATTTTATAGAATAGGAGGCAAAGGCTCCCAAATGCCACACAACTTTCTCCCAGAGGAGCAGCGTAGGAGGGTAATAAAGTTGTGAGGATTAAGGAGTTACTATATGTGAAAGTACTTAGAATAGTGACCGACACGTAGCAAGCACTATTATTATTCGCTGTGATTGATGATTGTTGTTCGTTGTTAACTTAGCCATTGTTATTTGGGTATTTTGCTCCTTCAGGTCAATTGCATGAGCCCCCCTAAATACAATCATGCCTATAAAGCGCTTAGCACAGGGTAAGCACAGGATAAATGCTGGCTTTACAATTATTGAAAGGTTTTGGGTGGGTGTCTTGAGTCCAGCTGAGGGAGGATTGGGTGGGTTGGAAGGTGTGGGGTCCAGCAGAGGGCAGAGCCTTGTCCTCCTGAGAGGGCGCTGCCACCGACTCAGCACCTGGGTGAGGAAAGGAAGGCGAAGGGACAGGTGGGGACCTTGAGTTGGGGACAGGTGGGGACAGGTTGGCCTCCTCCTTGTCCTGGAGGTATTTTGGGCACTGGCAGGACCCAGATGCCAGGCGCTGAAACAGGAGGGGGTGTGGCCACCCTCCTCCTGGGCTCCTGCCAGGCCAGCTGAGGCTTAGAGGAAGCCAGCGCACTTGAGCAGCCCCTGCCAGCCTGCGGCCCTGGGCGCTTCTGGGCCTATCTGCCCCAGGCCCTGAATCACCAGGCATGTGTGTTCCTGTAAATGGGCACAGGGGTGCTCCCATGTGGATCTTTATTTCAGCAAATGGGATCGAGCACCTACAGTATACCAGACAATTGGGCTGGGCACTTGGGGGACCCGGCCTTCTTTTGATGAAGCAACTAGCAGTGGTGAGCGCTGCAAAGGACAGGCATGGAGAACTTTGGAAACGTTGCGCCCTACCCAGGTCTTGGGGCTGGGGATAGGGTGTATGTAGGTTGGGCCACCTGCTGGTGAAGATCCTTGGGCTCTAGTTTATACTGTACCAGGTTACAGTGGCTTTGGCCCTCGCTCTTCAGGGTATGGTCCAGCAGCATTGGCATCCACTGGGAGCTTGGTACAGCATCTCAGGCTCCATCCCAGACCCTCTGAATCAGTCTGCATTTTAACAGGGTCCCCAGGTGGTTCATGTGCACATTAAGGTTGAGCAGCCCTGGATTAATGGCAATGTTCTAGAGCTAACAGTTACTGAGCACTGGCTGTGTGCAGACACTGTGCTAAGTGCTTTTACACTTATTGACTCATTTAATTCTCAGAGCAACCTGATGACGCCGAAGCTGTTACTATCCCTATTTTACAGACAAGAAAATGGAAGCCAAGAGAGGTTAACTTGCCCAAGGTCACATAGCCAGTAAGTGGCTTCAGATGCTGGGATTCAAATCCAGGTATTTGGAGTCTGCCCTTAACCATTACACTACACTCTCTCCTCACTTAATGGCTGCATCTGTGTCTGGAGGTAGATAATTCCAGGATGGCTTGGTGGTTGAACTATGCCATCAAGGACCCTGAGTCCCTCCACCTATTCCCTCTGTAGGCCTCAGTATCCCCTGGAGCTTGGAAGGGCTTTCTTTCCCTGAGCCCCTGTCTGCCTGATTGAAAACTGGGGTTCTGAATGTGAAGGATGGAAGAGAATAGCTGTGGGTTTGGCAGGCAGCCAAGCTCCCCCCACCAGTGGGTCCATCTCCCCCAGATAGGGGGCAGGGTTCAAGACCCCTGAAAAAGGGCCACGAGAACAGTGTCTCCCTGGACCCCCCTGAATCCTGAGATACCCCCTGGTGATGGCATCAGGGTGGGTTCCTGGGACATGGATTCGAGTGCAGGTAGGTTGTGGAAGGTGATTCCAGATAACCGTGGCAGAGGAGCACATGAGAGATGGCGCAGGGGAGTAACACGCACCTCGAGAAGCCAGCTGCCACTGTGGGCAACTGGAGTTCAGTCCTGATGGGGACTCAGAGCCATTGTGGAACTTGTGCCTGAGAGTCACCCCTGGGAGGCTCCTTGCTGAAGTATTTGTATTCTGACCCTCATCAGTTACTGGTTGAAACCTCCTGCCCTTCCTGCAGCACAGAGGGCTCTGAAGCCCAGAGACATCCTCAGGGGCCAGAGAAGCACATGTGCTGGCAGTGTGCCATGGTGAGGGTCAGGGGATATTGGGGGGCAGCAGTCTGCTCCCCTGAGTGCACAGCACCATGTCCCACTGCCCAAACCAGAAACCTGGGGTTCTCCCAGATGGCTCCCCCTCTCTCACACTCCAGATCCAATCCATAATTGGGCTCTGCTCTTTCACTACTAATTATCTCTTTGCGCCATGCATTTCTCCCCATCCCTACCCCTTTGAAGAAGCAACTGATCACTGCTGCTTGGATACCTACAAGTCCCCTTTTGGTCTGAACTCTGTAGTCTGTCACTCAGCACTTGTTTCCTCTGGCTCTGCAGCCTCTCCTAGTCCCCAGCCCTGTGCCTAAACTCCAGCACCCTGAACCTCATATACCTCCTTGTCTCACCTCTGGGTCTTTCATTCATTGCTCCCTCCTCCTGCACCCCCTTTCCTACCCCTACTCCCGCTGCACCCTCTGACTCATTCCTCCTCAGACCTCAGCTGAGAGTTGGCACATAAGCTTTGTCTCCTGTGCCAAATCTAGTTAATTGATAGTGGCTCCCCAGAGTGCTGTGTTGAGAAGGATTCTGGAGCCCAGTCCAGGCTTGGCAGGAGTGCTGAGGTTGATTAGCAATGTCTGCCCTGGGCGTGGGCAGGGGAAGTGGAACAGCGTGGTCTGTCGTTCCTCTGACTATATCAGCAGCTTCCAGTTCATTCTTCCTCTGTCGCATCACAGCACCCTGTAGTAATTGTCACATGAGTGTCTCTCTGTTTCACTAGACACTGAGGTCAGTGCCTGCCCACCATGGGGCCAGACCCACAGATGATGCTCTGCAAATTTTGTTGAATAATGGGTAGGTACCAGTGGCAGAAGCATGTACAAATTCTACTTTCCCTGCCCCTTTCCAGTCTCCTTCATGACACAGAGTTGGGGCCTCAGCATCCTCTCTATAAACCCAAATCTCTTTGAGCTGGCTGCCAGCGCCCCTCCTGCTCCTTCTCTCTGCCCCTCATGGTCCTGAGGTGTCTGAGTCATCAGCATCCAGCTTCCTGGGTGTCTGGGTCACTTTGCCCACGGCTCTAGAAAGTAGAGTGTGAGCTGATGGCAGGGCCACTCGGGCCCCTGGGCTCAGAGGCTCATTCCTGCCAAGGCTGTTTGCTAACCACCAAAGGCCCAGGAGGCTGGGTGGGTTGTCAGAACTCCCTTCCCCTTCCCCACCTCTGCTGTTAGCACAGTCATCATGCCCAAAGGACAGACCAGGGCTGGCTGGCTGAGCTGTGGGCTAGGAGATGGGTGTTTCTAAGCACTAGTGCCTGATGAGCATTTTACTGTGCCAGATTCTGTTCTGAGAAGTTTATCTCATTTAATATTTACAACAGTACTGAGGGGGTAGCCTATTATTGTTTATTCCTACTTCGCCAAAAAGGAAACCCAGGCTATGAGAGATGAGGAATGTGTCTTCACAACTAATGAGTGGGGAATCGGGATTCAAATCCAGGCCTGCGTGACCCCAAAGCTTGGACTGCAAATCCCTGTACTCTGCTCTGGGCAAGGCTCTGGTCCCCTCATAGCACGGTATAGCAGACTGGTTAAGAAGATGAATTCTAGATCAGACTCCTGGGGTTCAAACCCCAGGTCTGCTACTTATTAGCAGGGTGATCTTAGGTGGGTTACTTGACATTTCTGTGCCTTGGTTTCCCCTTCTGTAAATGGGTATTGGTAATGCATACCTAGCTTTCATGGGGTTGTTAAATGAGTATTAAACGAGTTAATGTTGATAACCTAATACAATCAGTGCCTGGCTCGCGACAAGTTTTTGATAAATTAAAATAAATCCCTGGCTTCGTACCCATGAGCCATACTCTCATGGCAAGTGGGGGGTAGGGGAGGGGCAGGTTTGGGAAACATCTTGAATGCTGGAGAAGCCAGAGTCAGGATTGTGCGATGCCGTGTATCCTGGCATGTAGTCAATTCTGCTACAATGCTTGTTTTGAAAACGTGAATTTGTTCCAACACGATTGAAGTATTAGGGAATAATTTGAGCACAGCACACATTTTGCCTTTGCTCAGGTATGGTTTCATCCATGAGAAACAGGTGAATGCAGAAAATTTGCATCCACCTAGGAAAACACAAAACACACACACCTCAAACATAACCTGCTCCCTCAGCAGTGTGTTATCTCATCCACACCCGGTGTTACAACTTTCTGTCCCATTTCAACAGCCCTCCTTCCCCCTTCACAGTAACTCACAGGCTGCCATCCTTCTGACATTCATTTCTACAAGCAAACTTTGGGCATCTTCAGGGTAAAGCACCATGTTTATTGTCGTATTTATGCATTTCTTACCTGTTTAACACGTGTAAGACTGTGCTACCATTTTTACTGTGTTCCTGTCTTTTTCTTTTTTTGGATGTGATACTGACATGGTATTTGGGTGTTGTACCCCAACTCCATTTTCCCTATAAGCTCTGTGATTTTTATTGCAGGATTTTGCATGCACAGTAATTTTTAGGAATTTATATTTCGTGTTACAGCAGAACGGACTGTGTGGTAAGCTCAGCAAGCCTGTGGGAAAGTGGATGGATGGTGGATGTGTGGGGCAGGCGGTAAATGGATAGACAGAGAGCTCATAAACCACTAAAGCCTTTCAGAACTAGGAGGGCTGTGCAGCCTTTTAATTTCTGGTGCAATTGGGACAGGTGATCCATCTGGAAAAGAGAGTAGAGTCAAACCCCCAATAACCCAATTACTTCTTTAGCCACGGAGAGCATGGAAAATCCAGGGCCAAACTGAGCTTAAAGATTAATAATGAAAGACAAGTGGGTTTCAGCTCCTCAAACAAAACTAACAGGATTTGAAATGCAGATCATCTCATTTCACCATTAACACAAAATAAAAGGCCAGTAGAAAACGGGTTGTAAACCTGTTTCAGGCTTCTGCGTGGCATGTGCCTCTGGGAGGACTCACCTGCTGCAGCCCCCACTCCCCCCACCCCAGGCCCAGGCTTGGTCTCAGGCACCCAGATGCTGCTCTTCCTAACAGGGCTGGAATCAGAAATGCCAGGAAAACACTGAAGAGGGAGAAGAGGCTTTCCCAGGCTGGGTAGCAGGCCACGGTCTCTCAATCCTTTATTGATTCTGCAGATACTGTGTGCCAGCCTCCTGTGCCAAGCAACTTGCCTGCATTCTTTCACTGCCTCTCCCCAACAACTCAGCAAGGGGATTACAATTTATTCCCATTTTGTACATGAGGAAACAGCAGCTCAGAGAGGGTACAAAACCCCATCCCAGGTTGCACAGCACTGGAATCCAAGGTCTGTATTACGCCAAAGTCCAGTCTTAACCACTATATTTTCCCAGTTTGGGACCAGCTGAAGGGTTCGGCATGGTCTGTGTAGTAGCATGTATGTAGTAATAATTCAGCAAGCTCTTTCCTACCCCTTTGCAAATGGATCCAATGAGCAGAGATTTCCAATACATTTAAAACTGGTACAGTACAGGCACCCACCCATGGAGTGGCTGCATACTGTCCATGAGGTAGGTGTGGCCTTTTTGCAGATAAGAAGATTCAAGTGCAGAGACTCCAGCAGCTTGCCAGCAGTTGGCTGTGAGGAGTAGGAGCAGCTCTGACATTGCATCTGCTGCCTTCCGTCCTACTCCTGGGAAGACCCCGAGGTGGAGTGGGGTCTCCAGTGCAGTTGGTCCTCTGGCCAGCAGGGACCTGCCACCACTGTATTCTTCCTTCTTCCAGCCCCACAGAGGATGTGGTAACCCTTTCATGGTTTCTGGGGTGTCTGCATGGTTACTTGGCAGCCAGCAAGGCACCCTGGGATGGGAAATCAGGCAGCCGCCCAGATATTATAAACAATTACTGTTAATTACCAGGCCTGCCAGTTCCCCATTGTCTGCTCACAATCCCACCAGGAACCAAGGAGCAGACAATGAGGATGTTGGAGGAAACTTTCAATTTCAGGCTCTGCTTGGGAGGCTGGGCCCCTTCAGTGACTTGGAATTCAAGAGGCACTGACATTTTTTCAGGCTTTTGGAGCCTCCAGACCCTCCCCCAGATGGCTAGGAGGTTGGGGTGGAAAAGAGACTGGTGTGGAGGAAAGGCCATGTCACCAGCCTTTGTGAGAGAGCCTGGCTCTTAGCTGTGGTGCTGTTAAGGGTCTTTAGGTTTGCAAGAATAATGGGTACTCATTTCTATCCCCAGATATTTAAGCTATTTCCCCCATACTTTCTCCATGATGCTGTTGCATAACTGTTGAGCTAAGATATTCAGGAGCCCAGTTGCTTGGATTCAAATACCACTCTGCTTCTGTCTCGGTTTGGCCTTCTTTTTCATGCAGCGGGAAGAGATACTCCCCTCTAGGGCATGGAGGGACAACAGAGCTTCCGAGTCTCACAGGTTCACTTCAGAAGACACCCGGCAGCCATTGCTGCAAAGCATGGTGCCCTTTACTCAGCCCCACCCAGTAAGAAGGACGGGCACAGTCCTCTCTGCTTTCAGATTCCCAGACCTAGCTGGGGTTTCCTGTCATCCCTCAGTACCTCCAGCCCTGCTTGGGGACCCAGACCTCCCTTGAGGATCCTCCAGCCTCCCAGCCCCCTCTCCTCCACCCCTGACATCCTCTGCTCTCCCAGGCTGGAGGTTTTCGTTTGCTTGTTTATTTGGAGGCAGGGCCGCCTAGTTTTGCACCTATCCTTCTAAGTCTGTTTCCTCTTAGATTCGAAGCTCAAAAGCCAAGCATCTGACTGTCTTGTTCCCTGGCTACTGCCTGGATGGGGAAAGGGTGGCAGGGAGTCATAGGAAATTATGAAAATGTCAAATTATTATACAGCCAGCAACTCTGCAGATAACTAAAGTAAAAACAGAATTTATTAGAATGATGCTGGGATGTCTCACATGGTTGAGGGAGAGCTGAGCAGCCAGGACTGGGTAGCTAGTAGTTCGAGGTTCTTTCCAGGGTAGGCCATTCACAGGGCTCAGACCTAGGAGATGGGAACTTTATAACCCCATTTCAGAGAAAACTCACTAAAATTAGCTTCAGCAAAATATATTATTATAATTGTTGTTGACTTGCGTAACTAAATTCTGTTTTTACTTAAGTTATCTGCAGAGTTGCTGGCTGGATAGTAATTTGACATTTTAGCCTGTATGCTTCTCATTTTCATGATTTCCAGCCAGCCCTGGCTGGATGGCTCAGTTGGTTAGAGTGTTGTCCCGTGCACCTAAAAGTTTGCGGGTTTGATTCCTGGTCAGGGCACATTCCTAGGGTGCAGATTTGATCCCCAGTTGGGGCAAGTACAGGAGGCAACCAATCAATGTTTCTGTCTCACATCAATATTTTTCTCTCTCTCCCTTTAAAACAATAAAAACATATTCTCTAGTGAGGATTTAAAAAAAAAAAAATGCAAGTCTTGCTTTAAGCAGAGCTTGATCCAGGAGCTCACGCAATGACACTGGTTTGATGGCTTCATTCAGGGACTCCAGGTGGTAGCAAGGTAGTTGCCAGAGGCTCCAGTCTGTTTCAGGTTCAAGTCTGGTGGGTAAAGAGAGCTTCTCACTCCATACAGTTCAAAGAAAGCTTCCCAGCCAGATTCCTGTGGGCTGAATTGGGCCACACATCCATCTTTGAGCCAGTCACTGGCCAAGGGAAGGATTGGCTGAGCTCACACCAGCCTCTGGAGCCAAGTCATCTCCACTCCATGGGAATCAATACCTTGGGGAGAGGGCTCCCCAAGGGAGATTAGAGATCTTGTTCCTAAAGGAACAGGGTAGACATTGGGCAGCCTACGGCAGCAATGAGTGTAGACCTCCAAGGTCATGCCACTGGTCCCATGCATCTCAAACTGTCAGGTACGAATGACTCTTCTGGGATCATGTTAAAAGGCAGATTCTGACTCAGCAGCCGGGGGTGGAGTAGGGTGCAGTTCTGTTTCTAATTAGCTCTCGGGTGATGCTGGTCTCTGGACCACACTTAGAGTATCATGGCATTAAACCATAGGAGCCAGGCACTGACGAGCATCTTCTCTTTCGATTCCTACAACCACCTCAAGAGGCAGGTGTCACCTTTTCCATTTCACGGAGGTGGAACCTATGGCTTGGCGAGGAGAGAAAGGGGATGGTACAGGAGAGTTTAGGGCCACGAAGGTAGAAAGGAGGGAGAGACGGACAGGTCATGGGTCTGCCTGAGGCTGGGTGATGGGTGTGGACAGAATCACCATGGTGTGGGGGACAGTCTGGAGCTGACCGCCCGAGTCTCCAAGTCCTCTGTTGGCCCCTGGGAACATGTTTTCATCTCATCTTTCATTACAGCCTTAACTACGGGGGAGTCTGCCTGGCATCAGACGCGCAGTTCAGTGATTTCCTGGGTAGCATGGGGCCAGCGCAGTTTGTGGGCCGCCAGACCCTGGCCACCACACCAATGGGTGAGTGCCCCAAGACCTTTTCCAAAGGGGGGGGTCCCACCGGAAGGCCTGCACCTCCCTCTTCGTCCCCTCTGCCTTGGCTGCATCTGCTGAGCACCCAGCTTAGAGCCTGGTCCACACCTGCCAGGCCCTCAGCAGAACCTGGGCATGTGGTGTGGGAGTTGGTTCTGGTCTTATTTTGGGCTGGGAGCAGGAGAAGGGGATTAAACCCTAAGCAGAAAGGAATATCTGAGTCCTTGATTGAGCTTTGAAGCCACTTCCCAGTCTCATCTGTTGAGGCCTCTTGCAGGCGACGTGGAGATTGGCTTGCAGGAGCGGAATGGTCAGCTTGAAGTGGACATCATCCAGGCTCGGGGACTGACGGCCAAGCCAGGCTCCAAGACACTGCCAGGTGTGGTATGTCCTTCCCCGCTGTGAGGCAGGGGAGGACGTTGGGGAGCATGTTTGGAGGGATTTGTGGGTCTAGAAGAGAGAAAATTGAGCCCCACTGTGGAGGACTCCTTTGTCCTAACTCTAGTGACTCAGAAAAAACTAGTGATTCAGGGTTTGTTCTGGGGACCCAGTTGAGGTTGTCGGCTGACCTTGTTGGCATCCCCTGCTACACAGAGCTCCTGGAGGACAGGGACCATCTTTTCTGTTTATGATTATACCCTAGTGCCTGAGAGGGTGCTTGGCACACAGTGGGTGGTCTGAAAACATTTGTTCAGTGAGTGGGTAGTGATGAATATATAAGCCAGGGAAGGGGTGGGAGAGTCAGAGACAGAGAAAGGAAAGAGGTGAGTAGCGTGAGCAAGGGAAGTGGGGAAACTTGCAGGACCTGGGGGAGTGGAGTAGGCCCCCACCAGCCCTGGCTGTACCCCACCACCCATACCCACCACCTGGATTGGCCCTGTTGCCTCCTCCCCAGACCCCAGGGGGGCACTTTGACCTCCATTGGTGGTGGGCACCCTCCCTCTGCTGTGCCCTTTGCCCATCATTTGAAGCCCACACTAGAACTTACCTGCTGGCCTCTGTCCCCAGCGGCCTACATCAAGGCCTACCTGCTGGAGAACGGCGTCTGCATTGCCAAGAAGAAGACCAAAGTCGCTCGCAAGTCATTGGACCCGCTGTATAACCAGGTGCTGCTGTTTCCTGAGAGTCCCCAGGGCAAAGTCCTGCAGGTGAGAAGCATGTGTGTTCATGCGCAAGGTACTAGAGGAGAGGGAGGCACCCCTGGGGAGGACCTTGCATGGAGGAACTAGAGTGCTGGGGTTGATCCGATCTCTACAACTTGCTGTGCAGCTTTGAACGAGTTTCTTTCTGAGCCTCAGCTTCTTCATCTGTAAAATGGGGACAATAATAGTACCAACTGGTAAAGTGACAGTAACAGTGAAATGTGTGCTTTGTGCAAGAAAAGTATTTGCAAGTATGGCCTCTAGTAAGTGCTCTACAAATGACTCCCATCATCATCATCATTATTAATCCATCATCATCATCCTCAACCTCTGGAGGCTTGGCCTGAAGCACAGTGATAATAAACTGAGAGCCCTTTGAGCATCCAGACAGGTGTGTGGCCCTCTGGCTATTAGGAGAATCTCTGTAGTGACTCAAACCTGGAGCTAGAAACAGCTGCCTATTGTGGGTGCAGGCAGGACCCAGGGCAGACAGATGCCTGCAGAGGCCATACACCCATCCTCTTGGAGCTATCTTTTGGGCACTTCTGGCTTGTACCTAATTTCTTGCTCCTTACCTGGGCAGGCAAAGCAAATGAGGATGGGGCCAAGGTGTTACAAATTGCCAAGACCGTGGGACTTTTGCTAAACTGGGAAGCCCAGGTCTTTCTAGGACAGAGTTTTTCAACCTGTGGGTTGAGACCCATCAGTGAGTTGTGAAATCAATTTAGCTGGTCTCAACAAATTTTTTTTCAATGGAATGGACAGGAGAGAAAACATTTCTCACTCATAGTAAGGTAAGTCGTCTTTGATGGGACACTCACTTCAAATGTGAAGCCTATGTATGCATAGGCAAGGATGATCCCTGTCAAAAAAGTTTGCATAACCCTTCAAATACAATGTAAAACAACCAGAAGACCATCCAGGTACTGTGCATGTACCTGCCACTTTCTAAAACTTTGTTTCATGAGGGGGGTTCTGAGGCTCTGGAAGCAGAGGGCCTGTGGGGGAAGCAGGTAGGGAACTCATGGTATAGGGTCAGTCCTCAGAACTTGGACCCAAAGATGAGGCATGTTGAGGAAGGAACAGAATGGAGAGGGCCAGACTGGAGGCAGGAAGCCAGTCATCTGGGTGAGCAACGATGGCAGTACTGAAGTTAGGATAATAGGATTGGACTTGAGCTATTTTAAGATGGTCCAATCCACAGGACTCAGAGGTGAACTGGGTGTGGGGGTGACCCAGGGTATGGTTCTGGGCCTGTGAGTGGCATTGGGTGATTGGAACCACTGTGTCTCTTCCCTCACAGGTGATTGTGTGGGGGAACTACGGACGGATGGAACGGAAGCAGTTCATGGGTGTGGCCCGCGTGCTGCTGGAGGAGCTGGACTTGAGCACCCTAGCTGTGGGCTGGTACAAGCTCTTCCCCACCTCCTCCATGGTGGACCCAGCCACAGGCCCCCTGCTCCGGCAGGCATCCCAGTTGTCCCTTGAGAGCACCGTGGGGCCCTGTGGTGAGCAATCTTAGTGCCAGGGATGGGAAGGGGCTCCCTGAGATGGCCTGGAGACTACCCAGCCCCTACCTGGGACCCAGGCCCAGGGGCATCTTGAACAGAGGAGGATGGGGTTCTCCCCAACAGTGGGGAAGCAGAACGGGGAGACCTGCCCCTCTTGGGACCCTCCTCACCCCTTCTTTGCCTCCTATCCCCTGAGACCTTTCCTCTCCCAGCGGGATTGGCTGCAGTTTTGACTTGGCCGGTTCTTGACCTGGTGGATGTGGCTGCAATCCGAAGAAGGGAAAGACTGAGGTGGCAGAGCAAACCATTCTCCTGCCCCAGACACTGTCTGACTGCTCCCCCTTTTTTGCGTCCTCGGAAGCTCGCTCCCGGAGCCAAGTCCAGAACCCAGCGGCCATCTCCATGGTGCCAATTACCAGCAAGTGTCTTTCCTGCGGCACCGGGTTCAGGCAGCTACACCTGTCCCAAAGCTGATGGGTCAGCTTTGCAAGGATCCGGAGCCAGCTCTGGGGGGCCCAAAGTCCCCCACTTGAAGAGGAGCTCCGGCCTCCCTCCGCCTGCCCGTGGAAAGAGCTTTGCCGCAGCCTGTCCAAGTCTGTCTGTCTGTCCCCTCCTGCCTGCCTCTCTTCCAGTGGAATTGGGGTCCAGCAGGGACCAAAGGAAAGGAGGAGGTGCCCAGAGCCTGGCACAGACCCCTGGGGTACCTTGCTCTGTGGGATTGAGACAAATTGTTTTGGGAACTGTGGGACTGGAAAGAACTCTGTCATCTGGGTTTTGGTGGAGGAGCTGTGGGACCGTGATTTTCCAGAACCCCAAGCCCAGAGAGCTTACCATCTCTGCATTTTGGGGTGCTGGATTGGAGAGGGAGTCTAGGGAAAGCTGGGGTTGGGACTAGTGGTGCCAAGGTGAGGGTTTCCCAAATAAGAGAATCCTTTCTTTTTGGATGAGGTCAAAGGTCATCTTGTCTACCCCTCTGCCTCCAGGCTAGGGGCCTAGAGAAGCAACAGATCTCCCCTATTTCAGCCTTTTTAAACAAACCATGTGTACTAAGGATAGAACCCACTGCCCTGGCCTCAATTACCTTGGCTCAAGGAGAGAAAGAGAGAGGAGGTATTTGTTTAAGAACCGTGAGATTCCTTCTCAAGCAGGCCTGGGTAGTTGCCTTCCTGGCCCAGCCCTCCCTAGGGCCTACGGAAGCCCTTTTGCATGCTGGGGAGGACTCGGGCTGGCCCCTCTTTATAGAAGCACATTTCTGCCACCTCCCCTGGGAGGCACCCAGCAGCCCACCACCCCTCATTACTCAGTCCCTGCTGTGTAGGGCATAGTCCAGGTTAGCTGGGTAGAGTTAGTGTTCCAAGCCCTGGGGCCTGTCCTTAGCTCGCACATAGTTGTCACAGAGACCCAGGACGGGGTGGAGAGGAGATACAAGTACATTCCAGGAGACCACTATCTCCTTGCTGGCCTGGGCCTGGGGCTCAGGAGGCCAGCCCTCCTTCTCCCCCTGCCTTCCCCTCCCCCTGTAGGGTTGTAGCTGGAGCTGCCCACTATACTCAGATGTTCTGATTTATTATCCTTGGTTCTAATTTTATTTGTGAAGCATTCCTGAGGATGTGGGCTTGGTGGAGGGGGCCTGGATGCTATTCGAGGGGGTCATTTTCCACTGAGGACACCCAGCTGTGTCCACTCCCACCTTGTCCCTGGTTCCACAATAGACTACTGACCAGATGATTCCTTCATCTGGAATTCCTCACCCCCACCACACCCCGACCCCC